GTAGTGGCCTAAAGCTCTGTGTGTGGCCTGTTGCCCACGTCAACATTAACAACCAAACGGAGGAGAGGGCTGTCTCTCACAGGACCTATTCTCGAGACGGTTTCTCCAAGCCAGCTCCTTTTTCGGACAAAATCATGAATCTTACCTGAATTGGCTTGCCGCTAAATCCTCAAGAGGGAGATAAACGCCTGGGAAGATTCAAAAGAGAATCTTCGAGATGCACGAGGGCTGCTCTGCCCTCAACAACGCAAGCCGGGTTTATCTCCCTCCCCAGGTTTTAGTTCGGTCGACAACCAGCAGAGACTTCTGTTAAGAAGCTTTTAAATGAAACACAAGAAACACATCTGCACCACGGCAACCAGTCAGCACCCTTGGAGCTCCCCAGAGGAGGCCTCTTCAATCTGGGGGCCATGATTCTGGTTTGGGGCTTTGGCTAGGGCCCCTGAACTACAGATAGCTATGGACAAGCTGCGTCCAGTTCCCCTGGAGGAGGGCTGGAATTTCACATGCAAACAGAGTTCTTGGTCTAGACTCAAGGCCGTTAATCTGTGAGACGATGGAGTTTTAACCACTCTTTTCAAGGACTGGGGGGCAGCTGCAGGGGATTTTGTAAGAAGTCCCCCCCGTTAACCAGAAATCACATTTTGGGATTCAGGGGTTACTCCACTAGCGAATTACTGTTCCCAGTTCGGACTCCTTGCTGTTTTTCAGTGTCTCAAGCAAAGACGGAGACAATTCCCCAATTGTTTCCTAGTTACCAGGCGACAGCACTGAGGGCCTTGAGTTAAATGCCCTGTGTCAGATGGGGAGAAAGAGGGTCTTTCCTCCAGTCCCGAGGCTGGGCTAGCCGACCATTTGCCAGTGTCTGGGTGGGGAGTGGAGAGGCTATATTAAAAGCACAGATTCTAGAGCCACAGAATCCTCGCTTGGCCTCATCTTTACAATGGGCTCGGGGGAGCTTGCTCAGCAGGCTGTGGCAAAGGTCGAATGGGGCAACGCTGATAAACATTCTCGGCCCAGTGCTGGCCCAGTGACCATATACAAGCTGTCGCGACAGAGGAAGAAGCAATTGGCTTCTGTGAGGCATAAGGCACCCAGAGTGGCAGACTCACCTCACCGGACTGTTAGTTTTGTGTCGGTCTGGTTTTAAAAGCCCTCCCCATCCCATAACCAATTATTAATCAGCCTCCTTTGTTTCCCTAAAAGAGACATTTAGAAATAAACTTGTCCCCAAACACGGAGGCTCTGTTTCGGCTTGCCCCAACGGTCTTAGGTGCCTGGGGAGTTGGCTGTGCCAGGACAAAGCCCTCCCACGACGGGCTGCCCCTGTGATCATGCGTGCAGGGCCCTGGGCCCTGAAGTGAGATTGAAGTGGCCTCAGGGGTCCAGGGGGTCTGACTGGTCAGCCTGTGGTCAAGCAGGGGATGCTTCCTTGCGCCTCACCTGAAGGCTCATAACAGTGAGGCGGCGGGCGTCGTCGGAGGGCGCGATGATGGGCACCAGGTAGGGGCTCTCAGGAATGTGCTCATCGTTGAACTTGACAGACACCTCGTAGTTACCTGCGGGGACAGCAACAATCTCTCATTTCAGAGACTCCAGGAGGGTGCTTCTAAACCAGCCTTTATTTCTTCACTAGGGCTGAAACACTCTCCTAGATACCATGCTCCCCCTCACCCCTGCCCCTTTACCCTCTGATAAGAATTGAATGGTATCCCCTAAATAGAGGTGCTGAATTCCTGGTCCTGATGCCTATGGGCATGATCCTGCTTGGAAACGGGGCCTTTCCTTAGTTGCATGGACCAGTTTGTCACACCAGTGTCAGGTGCATGCTAACCCGAATCACATCCAGGTTATGCATGATCACAGCAGACACTGAGAGGCACGGAGGAGGGTGAATTCCAGGTGAAGGTGGTCTCCGAGCCCACAGCGCCCAGGAACTTCCAGGGAAGCAGAGAGCAGAGGTGACATGGCTGAGACCCTGGTGGGGACCCTACCCTCCGGGTCTCAGAAAAGCAACCTCCACTTTACCATCACCCACTGGGGGTGCTAGTGTCCCCTCGGGCTGGGGAACTGAGACCGTGCACCTGGAGCCCTGCCCTGAGTGAGCTAACTGATGGCAGCCAGGCCACCACGCAGAGGTTGGGCCAGTTAGACCTTACCGGTGAAGCTCACACGTCTTTGCATTGCCAAGTTCTTGTGGTCAGAAGGGCAGTGTGTACCCACAGCGGGGTTCAGGAGGGGTGGAAACAGGGATCCCAGGAGGAAGTGGGAGAGGGGTGGCACATTGAGTGGACTGCACTGAATGCGATCGACGAGTGGGGACTGAGGATCTTCTCCTACACTGTTCGCAATAACAAGTTGAGAAGAAAAGAAAAACATCTCCTTATTGCGTAAGACAGGGATTCTTAACCTGGGTCCCCCCACAAGGTCGGCGTGTAGAATTCAGGGGCTCCATGGACTTGATTGAGGAAAAATGACCTGTGTTCTTTCACTCACCCCTAATGGGAATGTAGCCTGACCCCCTGCCCCTTTTAGAAACGTCAAGCCACAGCACGCTAGAAGTGTTTGTGACTTGATGGCCAATACAAATCACAAATACTTTTGAATCATGTTACAGGTTTCCGACCTCTTGCCCAATCAATCACCTGTAGCCATCATGACTCCGAAGTCCGGACAGGTCACAGCCTATCACTCAATCTCACAGTCCAACGTGCTAGCGAAGGAGTACAGGCCCTGCAAAGACTGCAGAATCTCCCCACAAACTTTCGGATGCCCTCGCGTATTATCTGTCCTTTTCGTTGTTTGGTAACTATGTTGCAATACCATTCCTTTCTCTTATAACCTGATGTACTTTCCCTCAGCACGCCACTCTGAGCATGCTCCCCATAGGCTTCTCCAGAGGCCAGAAGTGACCCTGGCACAGGAAAGGTCAGGCTGCCAGGGCCACTGTTTGGGGCCGGGATGGGCAGTAGAGGGGCTGGCCATGGGAAAGGGACACAGAGGCAGTATGAAGGTGCCAAGCCAAGAGAGAGATAGAGAAAGACAAAAAGATAATAACAGGCCCCTTTGAGGTCTGGCTGGGTTTCCAATAATTAGACTTCTAGAGGGGGGACTCCCCACGCAGGCAGGCTATAGAGGCCCCACGTACTGGGGCGAGCTTTCTAGGCTCTGGCTCCCTGCACAAGGAAAACAGCCAGAGCGGGCTGTGGAGCGCATACCAGGCTCTTGGGCAATGTAAGACACGCCGCAGGATCCGTTCTTGTGGTCATCAAATGTGATCTCGGCCTTGCTGGGGCCCTCCACGGCGATGGACAGGCCCCCCGCACCGGCTTCTCGGGTCCAGATGCTGAACTCGGCTGAGGGTAAACACACGCTCAGTCAGTGGCGAGCCCAATTAAACCTGCCTTTGTCTGTGGTCAGCCCTCTCCTCTGGGCCAGGATACTGAGTTCATGGTTAGCTGGGCTCTTCCCACCCTCGGCCCCCACTGGAAGGTACCCTAACCTAGAATGGCTCTACCAAGCTCTCCCACGGCCCACAGAACCTGGGCCCTGCAGGATGCTCCGAAAATCGCTTTGCTACTCAGCTCCCGCTTAGAGACGCTCGACACACGCTAATGCGCCACAGCCTCTCAGAAAGCCCAGCCCAGAAACCGGTCTGGCTTTGGGAAAGCTAAGCAACTCCCAAACATATGGAGGCACACAAAGCCTGTTTTCACAGAATGCCTCGGAACGCCAACTTCAGGGATTAATTTTATGCGTCCACTTGGCTAGGCCACGCGGCGGCCGGCTGACAGCATGTCCGCCTGTGGAGGGCCGGATGCGATCAGTCGAGGTGTCTGAGAAGAGGAGGTTCTTCCTTGCGACCGTAACACAGATATCTTGCCACGGTGTCCAGCCTGCCTGGCCTGTGGATTTGGGGCTTTGCCAGTCCCCGTAACGTCACGAGTCGACTTCTTAAGATAAATCTCCCATTTTCTCTGCTTGGCGCCCATCCCCACCTCCTACCCCCGCTGCACCTTGCTCTATGTGCATGAGAGAGCTTCAAGAGTTCCTGGGGAAATCCCATCTGCCACAAATGTTTCGAAGCCCCGCACAGATCAGGAGAGCCTTGACCAGCACGCTACCCGTCAGAATCACACGCGAAGACTCACCGGGCACTCCTGCTTCTCCCCGCTCCAGGCCGGGGCCTCCTGCCCGGACCTTGTGGGCACCCCCTTCCCCGAGTGGCCCCACGGTGAACTGGAAGGGGCTGCCTGTGACGTGCTGGCCACGGTACTTGACGCTGACCGTGTGAACGCCCATCTCCTGGGGCACAAAGCGGACGCAGTGTGAGTTCTTCCCCACGGGTACGATCTCTGCCTCGGTCACGCGGCCTGAGGGGCTGGTCACTTGGGCCGACATGTCGCTGCTGCTGATTTCTGCAAGGAAGCGGGAGGTTGGGGGGAGGGAGGGAGGGGAGTCAGAGCGGTGGCTTGGGGAGGGAAGCCATCAGTCAGCTGGGGGCCACGCAGGCACTGCTCAGTGGGTGCGGGCGCTCGGGGTCCCCCATCGGGTCCTGCAGCACGCGGGCCTCCAGCACAGAGGGCATCCAGGGGCACCGGCACTACCTGTCCCACCAAGAACTGTCCCTGCCGCCACAGCTGGAGCAGAGCGCATGTCACACAGAAGCCTCCAACTTCAGTCGAACCGAGTGCTCCCCACAGAAACAAACATCCCCACAGCACCATGGTGTCAGGCCAAGGCCCACCGGGCATCTGTGGGGCCTCCCCGGGAGGTCCGGACTCAACATCGGGAGCTGTCGTGCCTCACTGCCAAGACTCCTTGGCGTTCCTTTTGGGCGTTGAGAAAAAAGGCCACGAGGGAGGTGGTGAGCACGCACCAGCTCCAATGGCAGAGAAACCATGCGTGAACAAAGCTTTCAGCTAACCGCAGGCCAGAAGACGCACGCTCAGAGGCAACCTGAAGCAGCCTCGCCGGCTGCACCAGAGGTTTGCGCCATGCCACTTGCCCACACCCAGCAGGTGCAGACAGGCACGTGGTACGCCGGGTGATGGAGCACTGGGGTCACCTACAGCCAGTCTGACACCGCACCCTCCAGCCCTAGAGATACCATTCTTGGCTTTGGCCCCTGAGGACAGAGATAGGGAACCGGGGTTGAGGAGTAGGTCACCCCGCAGGGCCTGGGGCTCTGAGGACAGCTGGCGGCTGCTAAGCAATCCCCATTCTGACCAACGCCAGCTGGGGCACGGGGGCAGGCAGGGAAGCATTGCCTGGTTAATGAGGGAGGAAGTGGGTCTCAAGTCATCTGGATCCAGGAACTGAGGAGAACGATGAACGAGTCAAGAGCCAGGAAGAGACGTGAGAGAAATGGGGTGGGTTGCATGTGTTAGTTGACGTCAAGTTGGTGCCAACTCACGGGGGGCCCAAGCACAACAGAATGAAGCCCTGCCCGGGTGCTAGATGGCTCAATATTCTGTCTCCATCTGGGAGGTTTCCACTGGCTATGTTCAGAAGGAAATCACCAGCCTTTTTTTCTTAGCCGGCTGTGGATGGGAAGCTCTGCTGAAATGTTGTTCGCCATAGGTGAGCCTCCTAGTTATTTGGACTTTGGAGGCAGAGCTCACAGCGTGATGGCAGCAGGTGAGCCGCCACAGCACGTCACAGCAGCTCACCAGACCCCCAAGAAACGAGGCAAAGGGGACCCAATGGACAGTCCGCACGGTAACACTGAGCAAGGGGAAGGCTCAGCCTGAGCCCTTAGCAGTCAGAGAGATGCAGGTGGGGCTGGAGGGAGTCTTTCTCCCTCGGACTGGCCAACATGGGAACAATAGCCCGGGCTGGG